AAAGGGATCGTTATGATGGCTTGCCTTAGGGTTTCCATTGATGGCGTGATTAAAACTATTCCGAGCCTGGACCCTTTTATGTTGGAAGCACCGTCCGTAAATAAGTTCTAAACCCCCGATGTCGATTCTTACACCATTACTGCCTCCTTGGTTGCCAGGGGCAAAAGCCCCAGGCTGAAGTCGGCCACGAAGTCAGCCAAGACTTGTGACTTAATTGCAGTCCTTGGTTTGTATTCACTATCAAATTCACTAATTTCAATGGCCCATTTGGCCAGTCTGTCCGAGAGCTCGGGCTTATAAAGAATGTTCCTCAAAGGGAAAATAGGCACCACAGCTATCGGGTAACATTGGAAGTAGGGCCTTAACTTTCGAGTAGCTGCTACGAGAGCTAAGGCCAATTTTTACAAATATGGGTTGCGAGTTTCCGCTCCCCTTAGAATTTTACTAACATAATAAAAGGGAGATTGCGTACCTTCGTCCTCTCGGACTAAAACTGCACTTATCGCAACTTCTGACACCGCGAGCTAGACTAGCAATATCTTACTTTCTTTTGGTTCGAAAGCAACGAAGGGCTTGACAAGTACTTCTTCAAGTCCTTAAAACTTGCTGACATTCCGAAGTCCATACGAAATAATTGTTCTTTTTTAGAAATGTGAAGAGGCGATGACATTTTTCTGACGAGCGGGAAATAAATCTGCTCAATGCTGCTAATCTCCCTATGAGCTTCTGGACTTCTTTCACGTTTGACAATTGATCTGCGATATATTCTATGGCCTTGATTTTGTCGGGGTTTACCTTAATCCCACTTTGTGAGACTAGGAATCCAGGAACTTACCAGAGCTGACCCCGAACGCGCACTTCTCGGGGTTAAGTTTCATGTTATGCTCCCTCATGATGTCGAATGTTTCTTGCAAATGCTAAAAGTGGTCACCTGCATACAAAGACTTAATGAGAGAATTGTCTATATATACTTCCATAGTTTTACCTATTTGTTTCTCAAACATCTTATTCATGAGTCGTTGATAAGTGGCTCCGCGTTTGTTAACCCGAAGGGCATCACATTGTAACAATATATATCGAAATTCGTTATAAACGAAGTCTTTTCCTGATCTTTTGGGTTCATCTTTATTTAATTGTACCCAGAATAAGCATCGAGGAAACTCATTAACTTATTCCTGGCCATGGCATCAATCATTTGATCTATATTTGAAAAGGGGAATGAGTCTTTCGGGCATGCCTTGTTAGGATCCTTATAGTCTACGCACATACGAAACTTATTATTTTTTGTAGGAACTACTACTACATTAGCTAGCCAGTTCGGATATATCTTACCTCTCGGATCGAACCGATATTGAGTAAGCGGGTTACCTCTTTTTTGAGGAATTTATTCCTTTTCAGCCATAGGGCGCTTTATTTGTCTTACCGGAGGTATGTCGGTATCCAAGCTTAATTTGTGTACCGCTATCTCCGTCGGGATACACGTCATATCCTCGTGCGATCATGTAAAACAATCGGCTTTAATTTTAATAAATTCAATTAAAGCAGGCCTGAGCTCCAGGTGCAGTCCCGTTCCCAAATGGATTTTCCTTTCTAGGAATTCTTCGAACAATGCAACTTGCTCTAGTTCTTCCGCCATGGACTTTGTTGCGTCCGTCTCTTCTGGAACTTGAAAATACCTTGGCACCATATACTGTTCCGGTTCCCCCGTCCCTGGGCTAACTTCCTCTGATTCGAGGGCAGGTGCCAGTTCGTGTAATTGCTATGCCACGCGCTCCTTTCCTTTGCTACTGAAGACAGACATTGCATTCATCTCCCTTACTGTTGGTTGATCACCCCTTATCTGTTTGATCCCCTTATGTGTCGAAAATTTCAAATATTGGTGATAAGTTGAAGGCACGACTTTCATCTCGTGTAACCATGGCCTTCCCAAGATAATATTGTACCACATGTCTCCGTCTACAACTTCGAAGAGAGTTGTCTTCATTACTTCTTCAGCGTTTGTGTGCAGCATAATCTCTCCCCGGGTTGTCGCGCTTGCGAGGTTCTATCCAGCGAGGAGCTTTGTTGCCGGAATAATGCTTTCGATAGTTTGGTTTGCTCCAGTACTCTCCATTGTTTGATATTAGTTGAACTTCCTGGATCCACTAGAATACGTTTAATCTTAAAATCTAATACATTTTAAGAAATTACCAGTGCATCGTTGGGTGGAAGCAACAATCCATCAGCATCTTCCTCCGTGAAAGTGATATAATCTTCCCGGAGCCTTTTACTAAGAGTTATTGAAACTTTTGTCTTCTTTGCTGCTGAAAAGGTGACCCCATTAATCTCATTCCCCCGAAGATCATATTGATCGTTTGGCATGGGGGTTCTTCTCCAGCTTTTGAGGGTTCTGCAATTTCCTTGTTCCGACTGTAGTTGTGCTTGGTTCGCTTACCTAAGAATTTTCTGAGATGACCATTCTTTAACAGCATTGCCACTTCTTCCCGAAGGTGTCGGCAGTCCTTTGTCCGGTGGCCATTTATCCCATGGTATTCGCACTATAGGTTTGGATCACTCTGTCCGGGATCGGATCTCATTGGTCTCGGGAATCGTGCTTCTTTGGTATTTCTTATGGCTGACACCAATTTCACTATACTAATCTTGAAGTTATATTCTGATAACTTGGGGTAAGAAAGATCCAGTGACCCTGACGTTTCTTTCTCCTGCAGCGATCTGTCGTTTCGACCGCGATCGGTCCTTCTGTCAATGGTGAACTTATCTGTTGTTTGGAGGTTTCTTCTACGGCCTTCAGTTCGCTCTTAGGGAAAAGGTCGGCCCCTTGAAGTTTGTCTGTCATAGTCATCTATTGATTTTTCTCTATCCTTCTCACGTCCTTTGGAAAATGATGGAAAGCCAACTTGATCATCTTCTATTTTTATCTTTGACTCATACCGGTTGTGGACATACGCCCAAGTGGTTTCTTGAAACTCAAGCAGGCTTTCCTTTAATTTTTCAGAAGCGTCTGAACTTCTCTGATTCAATCCTTTGGTGAATGCTTCGGCTGCCCATTCATCCGGGACAGCCAGGAGCAACATTCTTTCCTTCTGGAAATGAGTGAAATATTCGCGTAACAACTTAGACTCTCCCTGCGCAATCCTGAATATATCGGCCTTTCGGGCTTGCACTTTTCTGGCCCCAGAATGGGCGTTGATGAAAGAATCCGGAGCATATCAAAGGAGTCAATGGAATGCTCGAGTAATAATGAATACCACGAGTTTCTCCAAATTTCTTTAACAACACAGATTCAATTTCGTGATTAAAACTATTCCGAGCCCGAACTCTTTTATTTTGGAAGCCCGGTCCGTAAATAAGTTCTAAACCCCCGATGTCGATTCTTACACCATTACTGCCTCCTTAGTTGCTAGGCGCAAAAGCCCCAGGCTGAAAGTCGGCCACGAAGTCGGCCAAGACTTGTGAATTAATTGCAGTCCTTGGTTTGTTCAATATAAAATTCACTAATGGCCCATTTGGCGAGTCTGCCCGAGTGCTCGGGCTTATAAAGAATGTTCCTCAAAGGGAAAATAGGCACATCAGCTATCGGGTGACATTGGAAGTAGGGCCTTAACTTTCGAGTAGCTGCTACGAGAGCTAAGGCCAATTTTTACAAATATGGGTAGCGAGTTTCCGCTCCCCTTAGAATTTTACTAACAGAATAAAAGGGAGATTGCGTACCTTCGTCCTCTCAGACTAAAACTGCACTTATCGCAACTTCTGACACCGCGAGCTAGACTAGCAATATCTTACTTTCTTTTGGTTCGAGAGCAACGAAGGGCTTGACAAGTACTTCTTCAAGTCCTTAAAACTTGCTGACATTCCGAAGTCCATACGAAATAATTGTTCTTTTTTAGAAATGTGAAGAGGCGATGACATTTTTCTGACGAGCGGGAAATAAATCTGCTCAATGCTGCTAATCTCCCTATGAGCTTCTGGACTTCTATCACGTTTGACAATTGATCTGCGATATCTTCTATGGCCTTGATTTTGTCGGGGTTTACCTTAATCCCACTTTGTGAGACCAGGAATCCACGAACTTACCAGAGCTGACCCCGAACGCGCACTTCTCGGGGTTAAGTTTCATGTTATGCTCCCTCATGATGTCGAATGTTTCTTGCAAATGCTAAAAGTGGTCACCTGCATACAAAGACTTAATGAGAGTATTGTCTATATATACTTCCATAGTTTTACCTATTTGTTTCTCAAACATCTTATTCATGAGTCGTTGATAAGTGGCTCCGGCGTTTGTTAACCCGAAGGGCATCACATTGTAACAATATATATCGAAATTCGTTATAAACGAAGTCTTTTCCTGATCTTTTAGGTTCATCTTTATTTGATTGTACCCAGAATAAGCATCAAGGAAACTCATTAACTCATTCCTGGCCATGGCATCAATCATTTGATCTATATTTGGAAAGGGGAATGAGTCTTTCGGGCATGCCTTGTTAGGATCCTTATAGTCTACGCACATACGAAACTTATTATTTTTTGTAGGAACTACTACTACATTAGCTAGGCAGTTCGGATATATCTTACCTCTCGGACCGAACCGATATTGAGTAAGTGGGTTACCTCTTTTTTGATGAATTTATTCCTCGCTTCAGCTATAGGGCGCTTTATTTGTCTTACTTGAGGTATGTCGGTATCCGAGCTTAATTTGTGTACCGCTATCTCCGTCGGGATACACGTCATATCCTCGTACGATCATGCAAAACATTCGGCTTTAATTTTAATAAATTCAATTAAAGCAGGCCTGAGCTCCAGGTGCAGTCCCGTTCCCAAATAGATTTTCCTTTCTAGGAATTCTTCGAACAACGCAACTTGCTCTAGTGCTTCCGCCATGGACTTTGTTGCGTCCGTCTCTTTAGAACTTAAAAATACCTTGGCACCATATACTGTTCCGGTTACCCCATCCCTGGGCTAAATTCCTCTGATTCGAGGGCAGGTGCCAGTTCTTGTAATTGCTATGCCACGCGCTCCTTTCCTTTGCTACTGGAGACGGAGATTGCATTCATCTCCCTTCTTGTTGGTTGATCACCCCTTATCTGTTTGATCCCCTCAGGTGTCGAAAATTTCAAATATGGGTGATAAGTTGAAGGCACGACTCTCATCTCGTGTAACCATGGCCTTCCCAGGATAATATTGTACCCCATGTCTCCGTCTACAACTTCGAAGAGAGTTGTCTTCATTTCTTCTTGAGCGTTTGTGAGCAACAAAATCTCTCCCCGGGTTGTCGCACTTGCGAGGTTGAATCCAGCGAGGAGATTTGTTGCCGGAATAATGCTTTCGATGAGTTTGGTTTGCTCCAGTACTCTCCATTGTTTGATATTAGCTGAACTTCCTGGATCCACTAGAATACGTTTAATCTTAAAATCTAATACATTTTAAGAAATTACCAGTGCATCGTTGGGTGGAAGCAACAATCCATCAGTATCTTCCTCCGTGACAGTGATATAATCTTCCCGGAGCCTTTTACTATGAGTTATTGAAACTTTTGTCTTCTTTTCTACTGAAAAGGTGACCCCATTAATCTCATTCCCCCCGAAGATCATATAGATCGTTTGGCATGGGGGTTCTTCTCCAACTTTTGAGGGTTCTGCATTGTCCTAGTTCCGACCGTAGTTGTGCTTGGTTCGTTTACTTAAGAATTCTCTGAGATGACCATTCTTTAACAGCGTTGACACTTATTCCCGAAGGTGTCGGCAGTCCCTTGTCCAGTGGCAATTTGTCCCATGGTATTCGCACTATAGGTTTGGATCACTATGTCCGGGATCGGATCTCATTGGTCTCGGGAATCGTGCTTCTTTGGTATTTCTTATGGCTGACACCAATTTCACTGTACTAATCTTCAAGTTATATTCTGATAACTTGGGGAAAGAAAGATCCAGTGACCCTGACGTTTCTTTCTCCTGCAGCGATCTGTTGTTTCGACCGCGATCGGTCCTTCTGTCAATGGTGAACTTATCTGCTGTTCGGAGGTTTCTGCTATGGCCTTCAGTTCGCTCATAGTGAAAAGGTCGGCCCCTTGAAGTTTGTCTGTCATAGTCATCTATGATTTTTCTCTATCATTCTCACGTCCTTTGGACAATGACGGAAAGCCAACTTGATCATCTTCTATTCTTATCTTTGACTCGTACTGGTTGTCGACATACGCCCAAGTGGTTGCTTGAAACTCAAGCAGGCTTTCCTTTAATTTTTGAGAAGCGTCTGAACTTCTCTGATTCAATCCTTTGGTGAATGCTTCGGCTGCCCATTCATCCGGGACAGCCAGGAGCAATATTCATTCCTTCTGGAAATGAGTGAAATATTTGAGTAACAACTTAGACTCTCCCTGCACAATCCTGAATATATCGACCTTTTGGGCTTGCACTTTTCTGGCCCTGGCATGGGCGTTGATGAAAGAATTCGGAGCATCTCAAAGGAGTCAATGGAATGCTCAGGTAATAATGAATACCACGAGTTTCTCAAAATTTCTTTAACAACACAGATTCAATTTCGTGATTAAAACTATTACGACCCCGGACCCTTTTATGTTGGAAGCCCCGTCCGTAAATAAGTTCTAAACCCCCGATGTCGATTCTTACACCGTTACTGCCTCCTTGGTTGCTAGGGGCAAAAGCCCCAGGCTGAAGTCGGCCACGAAGTCAGCCAAGACTTGTGACTTAATTGCAGTCCTTGGTTTGTTCAATATCAAATTCACTAATTTCAATGGCCCATTTGGCCAGTCTACCCTAGAGCTCGGGCTTATAAAGAATGTTCCTCAAAGGGAAAATAGGCACCACAGCTATCGGGTAACATTGGAAGTAGGGCCTTAACTTTCGCGTAGCTGCTACGAGAGCTAAGGCCAATTTTGACAAATATGGGTAGCGAGTTTCTGCTGCCCTTAGAATTTTACTAACATAATAAAAGGGAGATTGCGTACCTTCGTCCTCTCGGACTAAAACTGCACTTATCGCAACTTCTGACACCGCAAGCTAGACTGTCAATATTTTACTTTCTATTGGTTCGAGAGCAACGAAGGGCTTGACAAGTGCTTCTTCAAGTGCTTAAAACTTGCTGACATTCCGAAGTCCATACGAAATTATTGTTCTTTTTGAGAAATGTGAAGAGGCGAAGACATTTTTCTGACGAGCGGGAAATAAATCTGCTCAATGCTGCTAATCTCCCTATGAGCTTCTGGACTTCTTTCACGTTTGACAATTGATCTGCGATATCTTCTATGGCCTTGATTTTGTCGGGGTTTACCGTAATCCTACTTTGTGAGACTAGAAATCCTGGAACTTACCAGAGCTGACCCCGAACGCGCACTTCTCGGGGTTAAGTTTCATGTTATGCTCCCTCATGATGTCGAATGTATCTTGCCAATGCTAAAAGTGGTCACCTGCATTCAAAGACTTAATGAGCATATTGTCTATATATACTTCCATAGTTTTACCTATTTGTTTCTCAAACATCTTATTCATGAGCCATTGATAAGTGGCTCTGGCGTTCGTTAACCAGAAGGGCATCATATTGTAACAATATATATTGAAATTTGTCATAAACAAAGTCTTTTCCTGATCTTTTGGGTTCATCTTTATTTGATTGTACCCAGAATAAGCATCGAGGAAACTCATTAACTCGTTCCTGGCCATGGCATCAATCATTTGATCTATATTTGGAAATGGGAATGAGTCTTTCGGGCATGCCTTGTTAGGATCCTTATAGTCTACGCACATACGAAACTTATTATTTTTTGAAGGAACTACTACTACATTAGCTAGCCAGTTCGGATATATCTTACCTCTGGAATCGAACCGATATTGAGTAAGCGGGTTACCCATTTTTTGACGAATTTATTCCTTGCTTCAGCTATAGTGCGCTTCTTTTGTCTTACCGGAGGTATGTCGGTATCCAAGCTTAATTTGTGTACCGCTATCTCCGTCGGGATACATGTCATATCCTCGTGCGATCATGCAAAACAATCGGCTTTAATTTTAATAAATTCAATAAAAGCAGACCCGAGCTCTAGGTGTAGTCCCGTTCCCAAATGGATTTTCCTTTCTAGGAATTCTTCGAACAACGCAACTTGCTCTAGTGCTTCCGCCATGGACTTTGTTGCGTCCATCTCTTCTAGAACTTGAAAATACCTTCGCACCATATATTGTTCCGATTCCTCCGTCCCTTGGCTAACTTCCTCTGATTCGAGGGCAGGTGCCAGTTCCTGTAATTGCTATGCCACGTGCTCATTTCGTTTGCTACTGGAGACAGAGATTGCATTCATCTCCCTTGCTGTTGGTTGATCACCCCTTAACTGTTTGATCCCCTCAGGTGTCGAAAATTTCAAATATTGGTGATAAGTTGAAGGCACGACTTTCATCTCGTGTAACCATGGCCTTCCCAGGATAATATTGTACCCCATGTCTCCATCTACAACTTCATAGAGAGTTGTCTTCATTACTTCTTCAGCGTTTGTGAGCAACAAAATCTCTCCCCGGGTTGTCGCGCTTGCAAGGTTGAATCCAGCGGGAGCTTTGTTGCCGGAATAATGCTTTCGATGAGTTTGGTTTGCTCCAGTACTCTCCATTGTTTGATATTAGCTAGACTTCCTGGATCCACTAGAATACGTTTAATCTTAAAATCTAATGCATTTTAAAAAATTACTAGTGCATCGTTGGGTGGAAGCAACAATCCATCAGCATCTTCCTCCGTGAAAGTGATATAATCTTCCCGGAGCCTTTTACTATGAGTTATTGAAACTTTTGTCTTCTTTGCTGCTGAAAAGGTGACCCCATTAATCTCATTCCCCCCGAAGATCATATAGATCGTTTGGCATGGGGGTTCTTCTCCAGCTTTTGAGGGTTATGCATTGTCCTTGTCCCGACCGTAGTTGTGCTTGGTTCGTTTACTTAAGAATTTCTGAGATGACCATTCTTTAACAGCGTTGACACTTCTTCCCGAAGGTGTCGACAGTCCCTTGTCCGGTGGCCATTTGTCCTATGGTATTCACACTATAGGTTTGGATCACTCTGTCCGGGATCGGATCTCATTGGTCTCGGGAATCGTGCTTCTTTGGTATTTCTTATGGCTGACACCAATTTCTCTGTACTAATCTTCAAGTTATATTCTGATAACTTGGGGAAAGAAAGATCCAGTGACCCTGACGTTTCTTTCTCCTGCAGCGATCTGTCGTTTCGACCGCGATCGGTCCTTCTGTCAATGGTGAACTTATCTGCTGTTCGGAGGTTTCTGCTACGGCCTTTAGTTCGCTCGTAGGGAAAAGGTCGGCCCCTTGAAGTTTGTCCGTCATAGTCATCTATCGATTTTTCTCTATCCTTCTCACGTCCTTTGGACAATGACGGAAAGCCAACTTGATCATCTTCTATTCTTATCTTTGACTCGTACCGGTTGTGGACATACGCCCAGGTGGTTGCTTGAAACTCAAGCAGGCTTTCCTTTAATTTTTGAGAAGCGTCTGAACTTCTCTGATTCAACCCTTTGGAGAATGCTTCGGCTGCACATTCATCCGGGACAGCCAGGAGCAATATTCTTTCCTTCTGGAAATGAGTGAAATATTCGCGTAACAACTTAGACTCTCCCTGCGCAATCCTGAATATATCGGCCTTTCGGGCTTGCACTTTTCTGGCCCCGGCATGGGCGTTGATGAAAGAATCCGCAGCATCTCAACGGAGTCAATGGAATGCTCGGGTAATAATGAATACCACGAGTTTATCCAAATTTCTTTAACAACACAGATTCAATTTCGTGATTAAAACTATTACGAGCCCGGACCCTTTTATGTTGGAAGCCCCGTCCGTAAATAAGTGCTAAACCCCTGATGTCGATTCTTACACCATTACTACCTCCTTGGTTGCCAGGGGCAAAAACCCCAGGCTGAAGTCGGCCACGAAGTCAGCCAAGACTTGTGACTTAATTGCAGTCCTTGGTTTGTTCAATATCAAATTCACTAATTTCAATGGCCCATTTGGCCAGTCTGCCCGAGAGCTCGAGCTTATAAAGAATGTTCCTCAAAGGGTAAATAGGCACCACAGCTATCGGGTGACATTGGAAGTAGGGCCTCAACTTTCGAGTAGGTGCTATGAGAGCTAAGGCCAATTTTTACAAATATGGGTAGCGAGTTTCCGCTCCCCTTAGAATTTTACTTACATAATAAAAGGGAGATTGCGTACCTTCGTCCTCTCGGACTAAAACTGCACTTATCACAACTTCTGACACCGCGAGCTAGACTAGCAATATTTTACTTTCTTTTGGTTCGAGAGAAACGAAGGGCTTGACAAGTACTTCTTCAAGTCCTTAAAACTTGCTGACATTCCGAAGTCCATATGAAATTATTATTCTTTTTGAGAAATGTGAAGAGGCTAATCTCCCTGTGAACCTCTGGACTTCTTTCACGTTTGACAATTGACCTGCGACATATTCTATGGCCTTGATTTTGTCGGGGTTTACCTTAATCCCACTTTGTGAGACCAGGAATGCAGTAACTTACCAGAGCTGACCCCGAACGCGCACTTCTCGGGGTTAAGTTTCATGTTATGCTCCCTCATGATGTCGAATGTTTCTTGCCAATGCTAAAAGTGGTCACCTGCATTCAAAGACTTAATGAGCAGATTGTCTATATATACTTCCATAGTTTTACCTATTATTTTCTCAAACATCTTATTCATGAGCCACTGATAAGTGGCTCTAGCGTTCGTTAACCCGAAGGGCATCACATTGTAACAATATATATCGAAATTTGTCATAAACAAAGTCTTTTCCTGATCTTTTGGGTTCATCTTTATTTGATTGTACCCAGAATAAGCATCGAGGAAACTTATTAACTTTTTCCATGCCATGGCATCAATCATTTGATCTATATTTCGAAATGGGAATGAGTCTTTCGGGCATGCCTTGTTAGGATCCTTATAGTCTACGCACATACGAAACTTATTATTTTTCGTAGGAACTACTACTACATTAGCTAGCCAGTTCAGATATATCTTACCTCTCGGATCGAACCGATATTGAGTAAGCGAGTTACCTCTTTTTTGACGAATTTATTCCTCGCTTCAGCTATAGTGCGCTTCTTTTGTCTTACCGGAGGAATGTCGGTATCCAAGCTTAATTTGTGTACCGCTATCCCTGTCGGGATACATGTCATATCCTCGTGCGATCATGCAAACATTCGGCTTTAATTTTAATAAATTCAATAAAAACATACCTGATCTTCAGGTGCAGTCCCGTTCCCAAATGGATTTTCCTTTCTAGGAATTCTTCGAACAACGCAACTTGCTCTAGTGCTTCCGCCATGGACTTTGTTGCGTCCGTCTTTTCTAGAACTTAAAAATACCTTGGCACCATATACTATTCTGGTTCCCCCGTCCCTGGGCTAACTTCCTCTGATTCGAGGGTAGGTGCCAGTTCCTGTAATTGCTATGCCACGCGCTCCTTTCCTGTGCTACTGGAGACAGAGATTGCATTCATCTCCATTGCTGTTGGTTGATCGCCCCTTATCTGTTTGATCCCCTCAGGTGTCGAAAATTTCAAATATTGGTGATAAGTTGAAGGCACGGCTTTCTTCTCGTGTAACCATGGCCTTCCCAGGATAATATTGTACCCCATGTCTTCGTCTACAACTTCGAAGAGAGTTGTCTTCATTATTTCTTCAGCGTTTGTGAGCAACAAAATCTCTCCCCGGGTTGTCGCGCTTGCGAGGTTGAATCTAGCGAGGAGCTTTGTTGCCGGAATAATGCTTTTGATGAGTTTGGCTTGCTCCAGTACTCTCCATTGTTTGATATTAGCTGAACTTCCTGGATCCACTAGAATACGTTTAATCTTAAAATCTAATACATTTTAAGAAATTACCAGTGCATCGTTGGGTGGAAGCAACAATCCATCAGCGTCTTCCTCCGTGAAAGTGATATAATCTTACCGGAGCCTTTTACTATGAGTTATTGAAACTTTTGTCTTCTTTGCTACTGAAAAGCTGACCCCATTAATCTCATTCCCCCCGAAGATCATATAGATCGTTTGGCATGGGGGTTCTTCTCCAGCTTTTGAGGGTTCTGCATTGTCCTTGTTCCGACCGTAGTTGTGCTTGGTTCGTTTACTTAAGAATTCTTTTAGATGACCACTCTATAACAGCGTTGACACTTCTTCCCGAAGGTGTCGGCAGTCCCTTGTCCAGGGGCAATTTGTCCCATGGTATTCGCACTATAGGTTTGGATCACTCCGTCCGGGATCGAATCTCATTGGTCTCCGGAACCGTGCTTCTTTGGTATTTCTTATGGCTGACACCAATTTCAGTGTACTAATCTTGAACTTATATTTTGATAACTTGGGGTAAGAAAGATCCAGTGACCCTGACGTTTCTTTCTCCTGCAGCGATCTGTCGTTTCGACCACGATCAGTCCTTCTGTCAATCGTGAACTTATCTCCTGTTCGGAGGTTTCTGCTACGGCCTTCAGTTCGCTCGTAGGGAAAAGGTCGGCCCCTTGAAGTTTGTCTGTCATAGTCATCTATTGATTTTTCTCTATCCTTCTCACGTCCTTTGGACAATGACAGAAAGCCAACTTGATCATCTTCTATTCTTATCTTTGACTCGTACCGGGTGTGGACATCCGCCCAAGTGGTTGCTTGAAACTCAAGCAAGCTTTCCTTTAAGTTTTGAGAAGCGTCTGAACTTCTCGGATTCAATCCTTTTGTGAATGCTTCGGCTGCCCATTCATCCGGGATAGCCAGGAGCAACATTCTTTCCTTCTGGAAATGAGTGAAATATTCGCGTAACAACTTAGACTCTCCCTGCGCAATCCTGAATATATCGGCCTTTCGGGCTTGCACTTTTCTGGCCCCGGCATGGGCATTGATGAAAGAATCCGGAGCATATCAAAGGAGTCAATGGAATGCTCGGGTAATAATGAATACCACGAGTTTCTCCAAATTTCTTTAACAACACAGATTCAATTTCGTGATTAAAACTATTCCGAGCCCGGACCCTTTTATGTTGCAAGCCCCGTCCGTAAATAAGTTCTAAACCCCTATGTCGATTCTTACACCATTACTGCCTCCTTGGTTGCCAGGGGCAAAAGCCCCAGGCTGAAGTCGGCCACGAAGTCAGCCAAGACTTGTGACTTAATTGCAGTCCTTGGTTTGTTCAATATCAAATTCACTAATTTTAATGGCCCATTTGGCCAGTCTGCCCAAGAGCTCGGGCTTAGGGGAAAATAGGCACCACAACTATCGGGTGACATTGGAAGTAGGGCCTCAACTTTCGAGTGGCTGCTATGAGAGCTAAGGCCAATTTTTACAAATATGGGTAGCGAGTTTCCGCTCCCCTTAGAATTTTACTAACATAATAAAAGGGAGATTGCGTACCTTCGTCCTCTCGGACTAAAACTGCACTTATCGCAACTTCTGACACCGCGAGCTAGACTAGCAATATTTTACTTTCTTTTGGTTCGAGAGCAACGAAGGGCTTGACAAGTACTTCTTCAAGTCCTTAAAACTTGCTGACATTCCGAAGTCCATACGAAATTCTTGTTCTTTTTTAGAAATGTGAAGAGGCGATGACATTTTTCTGACGAGCGGGAAATAAATCTGCTCAATGCTGCTAATGTCCCTGTGAGCCTCTAGACTTCTTTCACGTTTGACAATTGATCTGCGATTTCTTCTATGGCCTTGATTTTGTCGGGGTTTACCTTAATCCCACTTTGTGAGACCAGGAATCCACGAACTTACCAGAGCTGACCCCGAACGCGCACTTCTCGGGGTTAAGTTTCATGTTATGCTCCCTCATGATGTCGAATGTTTCTTGCAAATGCTAAAAGTGGTCACCTGCATACAAAGACTTAATGAGCATATTGTCTATATATACTTCCATAGTTTTACCTATTTGTTTCTCAAACATCTTATTCGTGAGCCGTTGATAAGTGGCTCCGGCGTTCGTTAACCCGAAGGGCATCACATTGTAACAATATATATCGAAATTTGTTATAAACGAAGTCTTTTCCTGATATTTTGGGTTCTTCTTTGTTTGATTGTACCCAGAATAAGCATCGAGGAAACTCATTAACTCATTCCTGGCCATGGCATCAATCATTTGATCTATATTTGGAAATGGGAATGAGTCTTTCGGGCATGCCTTGTTAGGATCCTTATAGTCTACGCACATACGAAACTTATTATTTTTTGTAGGAACTACTACTACATTAGCTAGGCAGTTCGGATATATCTTACCTCTCGGATCGAACCGATATTGAGTAAGCGAGTTACCTCTTTTTTGACGAATTTATTCCTCGCTTCAGCTATAGGGCGCTTCATTTGTCTTACCGGAGGTATGTCGGTATCCAAGCTTAATTTGTGTACCGCTATCTCCGTCGGGATACACGTCATATCCTTGTGCGATCATGCAAACATTCGGCTTTAATTTTAATAAATTCAATAAAAATACCTTGGCACCATATACTATTCCGGTTCCCCCGTCCCTGGGCTAACTTCCTCTGATTCAAGGGCAGGTGCCAGTTCCTGTAATTGCTATGCCACGCGCTCCTTTCCTGTGCTACTGGAGACAGAGATTGCATTCATCTCATTTGCTGTTGGTTGATCACCCCTTATCTGTTTGATCCCCTCAGGTGTCGAAAATTTCAAATATTGGTGATAAGTTGAAGGCACGACTTTCATCTCGTGTAACCATGGCCTTCCCAGGATAATATTGTACCCCATGTCTCCGTCTACAACTTCGAAGAGAGTTCTCTTCATTACTTCTTCAGCGTTTGTGAGCAACAAAATCTCTCCCGGGTTGTCGCGCTTGCGAGGTTGAATCCAGCGAGGAGCTTTGTTGCCGGAATAATGCTTTTGATGAGTTTGGTTTGCTCCAGTACTCGCCATTGTTTGATATTAGCTGAACTTCCTGGATCCACTAGAATACATTTAATCTTAAAATCTAATACATTTTAAGAAATTACCTGTGCATCGTTGGGTTGAAGCAACAATCCATCAGCATCTTCCTCCGTGACAGTGATATAATCTTCACGGAGCCTTTTACTATGAGTTATTGAAACTTTTGTCTTCGTTGCTGCTGAAAAGGTGACCCCATTAATCCCATTCCCCCCGAAGATCATATAGATCGTTTGGCATGGGGGTTCTTCTCCAGCTTTTGATGGTTCTGCATTGTCCTTGTTCCGACCGTAGTTGTGCTTGGTTCGTTTACTTAAGAATTCTCTGTGATAACCATTCTTTAACAGCGTTGACACTTCTTCCCGAAGGTGTCGACGGTCCCTTGTTCGGTGGCCATTTGTCCCATGGTATTCGCACTATAGGTTTGGATCACTCTGTCCGGGATCGGATCTCATTGGTCTCGGGAATCGTGCTTCTTTGATATTTCTTATGGTTGACCCCAATTTCACTGTACTAATCTTGAAGTTATGTTCTGATAACTTGGAGAAAGAAAGATCCAGTGACCCTGACGTATCTTTCTCCTACAGCAATCTGCGGTTTCGACCGCGATCGGTCCTTCTGTCAATCGTGAACTTATCTCCTGTTCGGAGGTTTCTGCTACGGCCTTCAGTTCGCTCGTAGGGAAAAGGTCGGCCCCTTGAAGTTTGTCTGTCATAGTCATTTATTGATTTTTCTCTATCCTCCTCACGTCCTTTGGACAATGACGGGAAGCCAACTTGATCATCTTCTATTCTTATCTTTGACTCGTACCGGTTGTGGACATACGCCCAAGTGGTTGCTTGAAACTCAAGCAGGCTTTCCTTTAATTTTGAGAAGCGTCTGAACTTCTCTGATTCAATCCTTCGGTGAATGCTTCGGCTGCCCATTCATCCGGGATAGCCAGGAGCAATATTCTTTCCTTCTGGAAATGAGTGAAATATTTGCGTAACAACTTAGACTCTCCCTGCGCAATCCTGAATATATCGGCCTTTCGGGCTTGCACTTTTCTGGCCCCGGCATGGGCGTTGATGAAAGAATCTGGAGCATCTCAAAGGAGTCAATGGAATGCTCGGGTAATAATGAATACCACGAGTTTCTCCAAATTTCTTTAACAACACATATTCAATTTCGTGAGGAGCTAAATCATTTCCTTTTACCGCTGTTGTATAGGTGGTAATATGCTTCCGTGAATATGAAGTCCCGTCATATTTTGGCACTTCAGGCAATTTGATCCGTTTCGGGATCAACTCTGGTGCAGCACTCGGATTGTACGGCAATTAAGTATACTTCTTTGAATCCGGGCCTTTCAATACTAATGACGCGCTTGGGATCTGGTCCATGCGGGAGTCTACCTCCATCATAAACCGTAAAAGCTCATTCTTAAAATGATCGTTTTCGTCGTTGACACCGGATCCGCTCTCCCTAGCCCCGTCAGAGCCAATCTAACCCCTGGGAGTGTTATTGCCGACCCTCTGCGCTGTTTGGTTTGCGGGTATTGTCGCGCCCCCTTTGTTTCCTCCTCGCGAAGAACGTCTGGGTTTCGACATTTCATGGGGAAAATAACTCTTTTCCTTTTGGGAATTGGGTATTTGAAGAGTCGCCACCTAACGAATTATGGTGCTTTAGGGCACCTTGAGCAATTAACTCATAGACTAGTTTGCATTACCAGAGATTTAGGGTAAGGGCTCGAAATAACCTTGAGGGAAAGGTGTTAGGCACCCCTTGTGGTCCACAACGGTGGGTCTCGACCGAACTTATACTTATGTGAATTAGTTTTACCACGTACTTGCAAGTAAAGGCATGTTTTGACATTCTAAGCACATGTATGATTCAAGTAATGAAACAAGGTAAAAGGCTTGAACAAGTTGCACATATACAAAGAAATGTAAATTCATTTAAACAACGGGAGTTGGGAAAAGGGGTCCTAGGTTGGTTAGCCTACAGGATCATACCGACACAATGCCCGGCAATCACTCCTCAATGAGGGGCTACACGTGATATTAGCGCGTAGTCATCATATCCTTACTACCCAATTGCCTCTCCTTGGTCATAGCCTAAAGCGTTCTAGCAACCTTGAAAGATATCCTATGCGTGCACTACCCGTCCCTTCTTTGTGGCCCTGGAGGTATTTAGGACCTCTAATTTGGGTAGTTCTAGACCATCCTAAGGTGCTTAAAGGAGAAAAGTCTAAGCGTCAACCAAAACAATTAGGACTGCATTTAAGGGGGTGGGGGGAACAATTAAAGGCACACATTTTACCTCCGCAAGC